CTGGACATTTTCCAATACTTTTAAGGCAAACAACTGCATACGTGTATTTCCTTATAGGCATAGGCATCAAATACATGTACATTTGTTATGACAAGAAAAATGTTGATTGTGTTCTTATTACCATGCTATCAAAACGACCGATGAAGATAATGAAAATAACAATGTAACGATAATATAGTTAAAACAACTGGTAAACATTGTTAAAAAAAAGAATGATAATAAGAATGAGGTTTGCGTGCACATCTAGACAGGTTGGAGGGAAGTTTAAGGCAGTGCTTTGGATCCGAAGTTTTACCCCCTCACACCACTATGTTGAGGTGATATTAACATTTTCCTCTTCGTTCAATTTTTTCTTTTCGCATTTTTTCATTTCTATTGTGGAGATTAAAGATGCTAAATTATTTTCTGCAGTGGATTATCTTCAGTCTTCTGTGTTGAGTTTTGGATTCTCTGTACTTTAAAACAAAGTTATATGCATTAGTAACTTAAAATTATGGTTTCAGCGTGATCGACAATGTATTGTGAAAGAAGAAAAAATATGAGAAAAAATTTAATTGCTAATGAAGATCCATCAAATTAAGATTATCATAGTTACTAATATTCTATTTCCTTTCACGTTCGTTAATAACAAATTGTACGTTTTTTCTTCGTCGTTATTATTTTACATATTATGTAACCCTACCTATCATTAGTTATCTTATTAATTTACATAAATATGTAGCCATACCTATCATTATAATTCTTGTTTTCATTACTGTTTTTATTATGTACTAAGTCATATTCTTCTGTCGTTATTCTTCTTGTTGGTACCATAACTATAAGAACATATATTTGAAAAATACCTGTAAGCTATAGTTTTACATGCATTCTGGTTGTCTATTTTTATCTATATGAATTTTAGCTTCACGGCGTCAGTAGTAATAAGGTATTAATATATCTCTTTGTATCCCCTTATGATATTACAAAATTACCCAAAACAAATTTCCGAAAGTAATTCATAAGATTCGGATTAAAATACGCTATCTCTTGTGCAATTCTTAGAAGTCTTATTAAAAGTAGGATTATCTAATATATGTTATATTTTTATCTGTTAATATTCCATGGGTTTCACGATGGTGCTGATCTGTAAACATGATGGGCTTGATTAGTAGTGTTTATTTAAATTCCTGTTAGACGAATTCTTGTCTTTAATATTTAAATTTATTTTCACAACTCCCGAAGGCCGCAGTATACGTTTTGATAAGGTAAACAAAAATCAAAAGAATTAATATAAAACCAAAAAAAAAGATTATTTTGGATTTCTTATTTATTATTAACAAGCAATACGAATAACAAACTGCATTGTGACTATCACTAACCATAATACAGTTTATTTTGGAATTCTTCAACGGAATTTTAGCATAAAAAAGCATATATGATATTTAACTATTTAACTCACGTTTTCTACTTCAGATATGAAATATAAGGAGGAAATATTTTAGCATTAACTAAGGCGTTTTTTGGTATGCATGTGAGAATGCTGCCTGACGGTGTGTGTTTCAAAATGCATTCAGTGTTTAATTAGTCATTCAGTATACTCGTCTTTTAAGAGAAATATCTAAATATATCTCACATAACAGTTCGCTTAATTTCTATGCCTGTCTCTTAGACCCTTCTTTTCAAATAATACTGATAACGATTATGGTGATAATAATATAATCAGCATAATGAATGATTGTGAGGCAGAATGACCACAATAATAATAATAGGTCATTATCATAATAATCATAGAGCGTGTACTGATAACCTTTACATTATAAGTGATGATAATGATAATGATATTTATCATGACATCAGTCGGAGCAGTACAAAACCTATCGACACATCTAAATTAGTACCTTGGTTATAGTTTGTAATTATTTTTCCTAACGAACAAACGTCACACACTAATTATACAGGTGATGACGTAAATAGAATTATATACATACATATATATAGATAGATAGATAGATATAGATATATATAGATATATAGATATAGATAGATTTTTTTTTTCAATCAGTATTCTATGTTCCTTTCAAGGCGGACAAATTTCGTAAATTATCTTTGAAAACTGAGATTCCTCTCATTTACTACAGTATACTTGCATAGAAATTATTGCGCAGTATAAAACTTAAACCCCACTTTGTTTGCCCCGATAATAGGGGAGCACACGTGAAGTACCATAGAAATTACGGGACAAAGCATAAATAGTATACACAGAATCAGTTACCGTATTACTTAATGATCCCCCATCGATACCAAAATCGTCGTGATCCAATAGGCTATAACTATATTGTAAAATTTTCACTATTTCCTCAAAAAGAATGGTTGATGGTTAGAACAAATAAATGCGCAATAACAGTGTCAGTTGATGTGAAATGAAGTCAAATAATATTAGGGTAAGAGATTTGTTAGATGGATCTGTAGATCTGGCTCTCGTACTGGAACACTGAATAAAAAGTCTTGTTTCTCTCTCTCTCTCTCTCTCTCTCTCTCTCTCTCTCTCTCTCTCTCTCTCTCTCTCTCTCTCTCTCTCTCTCTCTCTCTCTCTCTCTCTCTCTCTCTCTCTCTCTCTCTCTGATAATAACATTTAATAATAATGATAAAGATATTAATAATGATAATGATGATAATAGTACATCCATTCTCTCTCTCTCTCCTGAATTGAGATTAAACACCAAAATCTTGATTATTTTGATAGAGATGCGGATGCAGTGGAACTTACATATCTTCGGATTTTTTTAAATATAACAACACGCAAGAACTTGTGTAAAATAAAGCCCAAGTGAGGCGATTTTTTCTCTGCATCTCTTTACTAGTAAGACAACTAAAACTTTCCAATCAGCTGTTGCGTTGAGTGAATATCATATACTAATGTCATAAATAAAGATGGGATAACCATGAATATTATGTTTATAATTTTGAAAAGATACAAAGTGAAATATTTATAAGAGAACAACAACAAAACAATGACAATAGATGGTTGTTTAGTTGATTTGAAGTTTTATTTCATAGTTTCTGGTATCACATATTATCCGTTTTCTTTTAATACGATGACATGACAGTTTTCTTTGAGAGTATTAAAGGGATAGCTGATTTATATCTCGTGCTGGGTTTGTGTTTGTTGAGTTTTGTCTATAAAAGCCCCGATTTTGGTATATAAATACCCCAATTCTTAAATTCATTCCCAGATCCTGGTGACAACACCGGTAGCGTCTCTGACTGCTACGGTGGAGGACCCAGGATCGAGACCAGAGTTGACCTTTGGCCTCGGGAAAGTTACTAGTTGACCCCTTCTTCTCGAGGTCAAAAGTTGCTTAGGTCGGCAACTATGCAGAAAGGCAGCAACGGCCCCCACTCGAGCATAAAGTGAAATTAGTTCGGTATGTTGGAACTGGTTGGCCGATTCGGTAGTTGTTTTCTAATCCGTTCTATATTTTATTACTGTTATTCCATTTTCTCTGTCGTATCGGCATTTATTCCTAATTGCAAATCCATCCTTTAATGACTTTTTCAATAATTTCTTCAGTATCTTTTGTCAGTATTTGTACCAAAACCTGGAGATATCTTAATACAAACTGCAATAGGAATAATACTTCTAAAAAAATTCAATATATAACTACAATTTAAGAATATCAAATATATTTCGATGAAAATTCCTTTTTTAGTCTCTAGGCCAGATTAATTTCCCTCAGTGAATGTAACTATTGACCCGAGGGGAAGAAAGTACGTTATGGTTCATACCAGCCAAACATACTGCATTTTATACGGATATTATTCTCTCTCTCTCTCTCTCTCTCTCTCTCTCTCTCTCTCTCTCTCTCTCTCTCTCTCTCTCTCTCTCTCTCTCTCTCTCTCTCTCTCTCTCTCTCTCTCTCTCTCTCTCTCTCTCTCTCTCTCTCCTCTCTCTCTCTCTCACCTCTCTCCCTCTCTCCCTCCCTCTTTGCATGTGTGTGGAGGGGGCTACATATGTACTTCTTAGAGTTCAAATCAATTAGGCACTGTAGTTTGGAATTCTTTATAATGTTTACATGTCTGTGTTATGTTCGCACGCATATAATCATTGCCACTGCAGTGCCATTTTATAACTTAATTTAAAATTGTACTTAAAGGAAAAGCCTGTTAATGTCACAGCCGTACAAATTATATGTATATAACACTTGAAAGATAATTAGATTATACATTATTATGAATTTTTTGTGAAAAGTCTTGCAATACCAATCAATGTCTTGCTTATTGATATTAATTTAGAATATACTTCCTAATGTGACTCATGGTTGGAAAAATTAATGATTACATACAGACTCTGCAACTCCCATTATGATAATTTTACCTGATGATTTCTCGGATAGAAACACAAACTATTAACGCCAAGGAGCTATATTTCGTAAATTGCTTAAAAAATACAAATAACTCCAGTTGCTTTACACTCCATACTTTTTTTTTTCTTACCGTTCCGCGATCAGAAATTATGCACGCAATTTAAAACTACTTACAGAAGAATTGCATATGACGGGAGGTACGCTTTTTGTGCCAGGGACAAGGTACAATGCCGCCTCTGTACCTTTCTTCGAGTCGCTGCACAGCTATATCCCCGCCTCAGTAAAGCCGCAAATCTGACCCTTACATTCGCATTTCATACGTGTACGTACATATCCATATATATGTGTGTGTGTGTGTGTGTGTGTGTGTGTGTGGTGTGTAGAGAGTTTTTATATGAGAGAAAGTAAATAATTTAATTTTGAATTTCTGTTTTATTATAGCGCTTGGAAGGGTGTCAGCTCCATCCTAAGATTTTATCGTGAGAAGTGTTTGAGAACAGGCAATGTGTTGCAAAGATGGCCACCCAAAGTCCGAAGGTGAATCTCTCCATATTGTTATTAGATCCACGTGTCCCTTGAGGATGGGAACTACTGAAAAAGAAGGAAGAAAAGGAGAAAAAAATGATACAATTTAAGATAAGATTTAGTGCGAGAAATTGGTCGCGTATATAAACTGCGGCAGATCTCGTCGTCCTCAGCAGCACCTCCACCATGGTCGCCAGAGTCGCTCTCCTCCTCGCCTTCGTCGCCGCCGCCGTGAGTCTCAAATCCTGTTTTACTAATCCAACAGTTATTGAATATTCTACTTTGTTGCCTTTTTCTCTTGTACATGCGGACATTCAAGGAAGAAAGGTCGAATTCTTTACACGTCTCTCCCGAACCAGAGCGGAAACCCCGCCGCCGGGAAGCCATGGCACTGGAAGTCCCCGAAGCCCCTCGTGGACCCCTTGAGTCCTGCTCCAGCTGGTTAGTGTTTTAACTGTGTGTATCGAGGGAAATTTCGAGCAAATATTTATATCGATTCGCACTCTGATGGACAAAAAAAAATACTTTTGCAGGCACCGCCAGAATCGTGGGTGGCGTTGAGGCCTCTCCCCACTCGTGGCCCCATCAGGTGGCTCTCTTCATTGACGACATGTACTTCTGCGGCGGTTCCCTCATCTCCAACCAGTGGGTCCTCACGGCTGCCCACTGCATGGACGGGTGAGCCCACTGAATGTAGCAATTGCAACATCCTCCAAGACATGTAGATTCTCCAAGACTAAAACCCGTGAATTCATTACCTCACGTTGTATTTTTCATATGTAAAAATTGCTTGCAGCGCCGGCTTCGTCGAGGTGGTGATGGGCGCCCACAACATCCGCCTCAATGAGCCCACCCAGGTGTCCATGACCTCCACCAACTTCTTCACTCACGAGCACTGGAACTCCCACACGCTCACCAACGACATCGCCCTCATCAGGCTGCCCAGCGCAGTCGATTTCGACAGTTAGTATCCTTCTTAGCTGATGGGCCTTTCTTGTTGCTTCGAGGCTGACTCTTCTTCGTCATTTATCATTCTGAATAATGATGGTTTTACTGTATCTTCACAGAAAACATCGGCGCCGTCAAGCTGCCTTCCTCCGACGTGGCAGTCGGGAAGATTGTTACTCCCACAGGGTGGGGCCGCCCCTCGGACAGTGAGTGCCTTCTGTTTTACTTCACCTGAGGCGGTCCGTTCATTCTGTTACTCTGCAAACTTAACTTGTTAAATCAATCTTTTCCAAACTACCCGAAGTCTAATATCGAGGATTATGATTATGAGACCTCTCCTCACACAGGCGCCAGCGGTATCTCCGACGTCCTCCGTGAGGTGGACGTCCCCATCATGGCCACCGCCGACTGCAGCGCCGTCTACGGCCACCTTGGAGACGGCATCGTCTGCATCGACGCCGCAGGCGGAAAGGGAACCTGCAACGTACGATAGACTGGTTTCACGCTATTTTATCAAACGTATTATATGAGTGTGATTTTACAAGTAGCTTGGACGGTAAGTTACTCTCTGATACTGTAAATTCTAACTGCTTAAGCCTTTCCAGGGTGACTCCGGCGGCCCCCTCAACCTCAACGGCGTGACCTACGGCGTCACCTCCTTCGGTTCCTCCGCCGGCTGCGAGGTTGGCTACCCCGACGCCTTCACCCGCGTCTACTACTACCTGGACTGGATCGAGCAGAAGACCGGCGTCACCCCCTGAACAGACCTTAAAACCAACACTGGCATTCGTGGCTGAATATTGTCATAACTGATAGTTCTTCACGCTCTGCCATCACCATTTTGAATGGAGAAGGAAATCAAATAAATATATTGCTGAATCGTTAGCCTTTCAAGCGCCCCAAACATTCCCTTCCACGAAGATCAAGAAATAAATGCCAGACAAGTCGTATAGTTTAGACCCTCCTTAGACCCTGTTGTTGATAATACAAACACAAAGCAAGTCCGTATTTGTCACTTTATTAAGCACTTAGATTGCTCGACTCTTATCACGGAATCTGAAGAGTCTTATGAAATAAGCTGTATTTAAAAAGTTAAATGGTAACAAAGAGGAGGAAATAACGTTTTGCAATAAAGAAGGAAAATAGAACTTTAACATTATATATTTCGACACGAGAGGCAGAAAGAAAGAAGCAAAATGGTAAATCAAAATATTTGGGATCAACATCTATTGAAGAAAGGGTATATCAATAGATAGAATACAGGAAGGCTGGGAAAAGTTAATATAACCGTCGACACCAATTAAACACAATACGTAGTTAAATCTTAATAAGTAAACATGTAAAAAATCCCGACAAACTGCTAAATACCACAACACAACCCATTAGACAGAAGAGAAAAATGTTATTTAGAGACAACTATGATAACAACAATAAACCAAATACATCTAGATCATAGCGGATACATATCACAAACAGACAAAACTAGTTACGGGTCGCCAATGGAGGATGAGCCATTGTATAAAACTGTTGTGCGAACTACCATGAACTACTGTTGTGTGAACTACCATGAGCTACTGTTGTGTGAACTACCATGAACTACATGAACTGTTGTGCGAACTACCATGAACTGTTGTGTGAACTACCATGAACTGTTGTGCGAACTACCATGAACTACTCTTGTCTGAACTACCATGAACGACTGTTGTGTGAACTACCATGAAGTCGTTGGCTTGTTTCCAGTCTGTGACATGTATAAGGTATCTGGCAACTCTTGACTGTAGTTTGGACACACTAGAAGGGAAAAGGCAATGGAAATCATGGAAATCCAAATGTAATTTTATAAAAGAGTCCGTGTGATTGACCGACGAGGCCATGCAAGTGGGAGGAAGGAGTGAAGGAGAGCCAAAGGATAAGGTTGAAGGACACGATGCTAAATATACAAGGGAGCGAAGGATTTGGATAAGGAATGTTCGAGAGGCTGACCGTGCATCGATATGGGAAGAAAATCGTAATAGGAGAAAAATAATGACTGTGTATTAGGAGTTACATTTCACTGTGTATATTCCCATGCATATCGTTTGATTTGTAAAAGAATGCCGTTCATATATGCAAGACGGTAAAATGTCAATGTAATGTCCATAATATCTACTTGTAGTGATATTCTAGAGTGGCATTATCTATTAATATTGACTAGACAAAATATAAGATTCAAAAGTGACAATAATAAGTTACCTCGTACCAAAGAGTTAACCGAATGCGACCTTCAGTGTCTTATCTTCCCGTTGCAAAAAGTGGCTGGGAAATCACCATGATTTCGATAAAGTAAACTGCATGTCATGTTTATATCTTTTTCTCACAAACCCCAATTGATTTAATAGTTTTCCTCTACTAGTTAAACACTCTATTGATTTGCAATGTCTAATATTTGATATAATTAAGGCCTTTATAGATTAAGTTCATAATACATTACCTGGATGAGTAAGATTTATTTGTACGTGAAAAAAAAAAAATCTATTAGGTCTTTCCCTAGTAAACTCCTGATTATATTTTGAAGAAGAAATTAGTTTTTATTCTAAAATATCTATAACATAATAAACAGGCATCATTCTTGCACAGAGATAGATAAAATAAATAGAGTCATATTCCCCAGCTATCAGTCAAGGCGTTATCCGATTCTCAACCTTATTGCAACAACTGTTCATCTGTGGGAATGGATACTGTTTCCCCAACTGCCGTATGCTTGAAGTTAGCGATGTGTGTTATCTTACATATTGACATACGTTGAAATCACACCTTGGACGTCTCTGAGCTCCTGATAAGAGAGTGGGTGTTTCTATTTTTATTTTACATGAGTATTTATCTCAAGAGAAGAAACAAAGATATACAATTCAGCAGCAAAAATCGAGACTGCGTAATAAAAAGCGTTACTTTTGTACTTTAAAGCTAAGATCACGGAGGTGTGTGTCTTAGAAATCTTCCCTCCTCCTCTTTGGGTATCTTTCTCTCATCACAGCAAGATGAGAGAAAGATACCCGAGGTCTTCCACTCCTCGACCTCCCTTTAGAGCAGTGTGTTGTCCGTACACGACCTAGGTCATAAGGGTACGTGAACAAACAAGGAACACACACACACACACTCAAAGAGAAACATCATATGTTCTATGAATCATCTTTTTTTTATTCGTGTATTAAATTCGAATTTATTGGCCAACACTCCTGCAATACATTTTCATAATTAGTATATTATTTGCATTATCATAAATAAAACGAAGGGGAGAGAGGGGGGGGCACGTAATAGTACAAAAAGATAATAAAGGGTACAATAGGCGAAAATGTTTGGACAACACTGCTCTAGAGAATTGATATCTATATGTGAATTAAGAACCGCGTTAGAGGATGTTCATAAATTGTTTGCAGATTTCGTGTTTGAGGTTCGTGTAGTGAATAGACAGAGGCGGTTTTCCACTTATGAGTTCCCAAGACTCATAAGTAAATTCAGAGAACTATATAACGTGTGTAATAACTTGAGCATTGCTTGTATACACCCTTTTTCGCTTCCTGATTCTGTTTATTGCCTGTAAATCATAAATGTTTGGGTGCAAGTTACAGGTAGCTAAGAGTGACACATATACGTCCGAGAGTTATCTTTGACATTTGTTGATAGATTTTCGAAGTCATTTTTTATGAACACTGGTATCTCTTCGATGACTTTTAAATCAAACGAAGACTGGAAATAGATTGTGGATTTTCTCATATTTTTTCCTTTTGACTTTTGGTATAGCAGGACACATAATAGTATCCAAAAGCTGTGCCTCACGTAATCATTAACTTAACGATTTCGCAAAACAGAGAGATATTGACAGTCAGTACCATCAAAACCAAACGTTGTAATTATCTTGAATACTGACAATGAAGAATTAACTTTTTAAAAGTTAGTGAAAGGTTAAAGTAAAGTTATCCCTGTCGTACAACGTGGCAAGTATACCCTTAGTGCATTCCAGAAGTGTTGCCGTGGTGGATAAAATTGGTAATTGATTAGTATTTTGTCTTATTATTCATATGATGGGATAATTGTCATTTTATATACCAGTACTGAACACTTCAGTTTAAGAGTATTTTTTTCCATTTTCATATTGTTCTTATAAGGGGATAATTGTGTTTTTATATACCAGTACTGAACACTTC